TGGAATTGACCTGGTCTCCTTAGATGTTCACTATCCCTTCAGATGAAGGGAACCTCAACATTTGGTGGCATGTTGATGGTACCACCTTCATCTCGTGTAGCCAAGACCGCCCCATTATGACATTGTAAGCCNGTGCTCCACTCAAAAACATCGACATAGTCTCTCAATAAGGTGACAAGCTTTTTTTTTCTGCTTGGGGCTAAGATCTGTTCCTAACAAAAAGTACTTTCCCTGGTCTTCATCCTTGGCTAAAGGTACTTTAGCCAAGTCTTCGACTATTCGATCAATAACTTCTTTCTCTGTGCCTAAAGGTACTTTAGGGCTTTTTGTGATAGCTTGGTTGGTAGAAATGACTGAGCAGTCATGTGTTGATTGCTATTTCATTTCCTCGGCTAGTGAATCCCTTTCTCGAACCTCTGCTCCGTCCTTGGCTTTGACCAAGGCCATTAAACAAGTTTTGGAATTGACCTGGTCTCCTTAGATGTTCACTATCCCTTCAGATGAAGGGAACCTCAACATTTGGTGGCATGTTGATGGTACCACCTTCATCTTATGTAGCCAAGACCGCCCCATTATGACATTGTAAGCCGAGACCGTATCCACTATTAAGAACTCGGTCATGATACAAATTGGTCCAATCTTTATAGGCAGCGTGATCTTCCCTCTAGGAATAACTGTTTTACCACTAAAGCCTATAAGTGGAGTATTTGAGGGCTTAAGATCTTCCTTCTTAAGACCGAGTTTCTCGAAGAGATCCATATACATGATCTCAGAGGAACTCTCTAGATCAATTAAAACTCTTCTCACATTGTAATTAGCAATTTAAAGCGTAATGACTAGAGCGTCGTTGTGTGGTTAATGAACTCTGACCAAATCCTGCTTGGTGAAACAGATGGCCTCGGCTATCTCCACCATAATTCTNTTCTCACATTGTAATTAGCAATTTAAAGCGTAATGACTAGAGCGTCGTTGTGTGGTTGATGAACTCTGACCAAATCCTGCTTGGTGAAACAGATGGCCTCGGCTATCTCCACCATAATTCTTTTGTTCATAACCTCTAGGGTCAATCGTAACTTATAGACCTCTCTCTCCTTGGCAGCTTTTTGAATATACGCCACAGTAGAGTTGTTTGTAGACATCTGCGAATTTGTTGTAGTATGGATCACATCAATCACCCCAGCTGGTGTGTTGTGATCTCCTTTGGGGTCGGTCCTGCCATCGTTGATTCTTACTCCACCTTCGATGTACTCTGTGACATGTCCTGCTTGGACTTGCTCTTCTAAATGCTGCTTTAAAGATCGGCAGTTCTCCATCATGTGACCTATATCCCGATGATATGAACATTTGAAGTTTAGGTTTCTCTTTGAAGGATCTCTAGTTAGCTTGTTAGGCCACTTGAACAACGACTGCGCCTTGATTTGGTTCAGAATCTTGTATATCGGTTCCTTGAAAAATGTATTTACCCCAAAAAAAGGGGACTTCTGGAGATAGCCCTCTTTCTCATTCTTCCTTCCGCCCTCGCAGCTTGGCTCGTTCTACTTGTCTCGACCGAACTGTCTTTTGCCATGATTTTCTTTAACTACATCTCTGGATAATTCGTCATCAACTTTGACATACTTTTCAATCATTGCCATCCATTCTTCCAGGTCGGTGGCTGGTCTTCTGGTGAGTGATTGGTATAGAGGGTTCTTCTTTGGCAATCCGATTTTGAAGGACGCCACTGTAATTTCAGGATTACATCCTTCCACCTCATTCATCGTTTCCCAATAGCGATAAGCGTACTCTCACAAGATTTCATTATTATTCTTCTTCAACGTCAGTAGAGCCCCAACATCCTTTGGCTACTTACTACTCGTAATGAACCGAGCCATGAACTGCTCGGCTAGTTGCGACCATCCATCTATCGACCCCTTCGACAAACTGTCAAACTATTTCATGGCCGACTCCCCAAGACTATTAGGGAAGATGGTGCAAAGTAGTAGCTCATTCCTTCGGTGAATTGTCATCAACTGTCTGTAATGTCTGATGTGCGAGGCTGGATTGGTTTTTTCGTCGTAAATTCTGAAATTCGGGACGGTAAACTTGCTCGGGATTTGCCCCCTTTCAAGCCATGAAGTGAAGGGTGATGACTTTATGCCATTCCCGAATTCCCCCTGTCGCTCTCCTGGCTAGGTCCCTAGCCGACCTCTGTTTTGGCTTTTTCAGGTGGTTGTTGAGTTCCTCGGTAATATATTGCTTCCATGAGTTTTTCTCTGAAACCCGAGGTCTTTTCTGTTGGTACTTATCATCCCTATCATCCTTGGTTCTGTCATGTTTTTCTCAGGACTTTCTCGTCGGTTGTTCCTCTCACGCTTCTCTTTTCTGGTCAAGTCCTTCAACCTGGCTTTCAACTCTTCATTCTCCTTTATCAGGTCCCTTTCCCTTGCGTAAGATTTCTTAAATAATTTGTCGTGTGCATCCAGCCTGTCTTGCAGGGATTGGACCAGCTTTGCCAAAGAGTGGTTCTCCCTCTCGGCACGGAGGTATTCCCCACGACCTACATTCTGCTGATTTTGATCTCTGGATGGTTTGAAATTAGTTGAAGATATCTCATCGTCTTCGTGAGGTCTAGATGGGCTTCTAGTGACATGTAAGCTAGCGTTGCTGCCAGATGAGAGTGATACTGGATCAAAATTTTCTAAGGCAAAACTACCTCCAGGAGATCCAATTGTACTTCTCAGTTTTGACATCGTAGCCTTTCGTTGCAAATGATGAAAATTTTCCCACAGATGGCTCCAAAAATGTAAGAGATAAAAATTGATAATACCTTCCACTAAAGATTGAATTTGATATTTCTGATAAATGATCTTTCTGAACTTGATCTCCCAATCTTCTTGTTCTGCAAAACGAATAAACTGCCCAAGATCGAAGTGCTTCGATCGAAGACACTCTGATGCTTAAGTCAGTAATGGAATAGAAACAATTGTTGAAACACAAGGAGAGTTCAGTGTCCCTTTCACCTTAGTTTCCTCTGTTTTTTATAGATAGTCATCCCCTTAGGATTTTCGTGATTTCCGATTTAAGGTGACACACCTTCCTTTAATTCAGCGATTCAGTTTGAGAAGTTGCTGATATTTTTTCAACAATTCCTTCTAACATCTGCAATTTCGTTGATTCATTCATACAAAATACCCAAAGTTAAAGGCTTATCTCTTATCTTTTTATCCTCTGTTTCAAACAGTTTGGTCATAATGAGAGTCGAGCTTTTTAGTTATTTTGTCGAACACATTGGTTAGTTCGGCTAGACCCATTTGACTGAGTGGTTAATGTCTTCGTCACGTGCCTTGTCTTATCAACCTCATGTGGGCTCATTAAATGTCACAACACGTGTAATAATGAGAGCCAACCCCTTCAATGATATTGTACCCTCACGCTCCAATTACATGTTCTTAGGTCGTCTTATTAGTTGGTTGTGAAGCCGCCATATGATTTGGGTTAAAATAATATTATCAAAATTTTGAGGGTAAAAAATATAATTCATTCTCTTTTTCGTGTGAAAATACTAATTAGATTAGGTTGGAACTTTGCATCAATGGGAGGGTGATCCGAGTGTTTTTTTTTTTTTTNTGAATGAACATTGACCTTTCCGTCATCCTTTTATTCTTTATTTTTTGTGTTGTTAGATTTCTTGGTTACATTCTACTAGAAATTGGAGAGCCTTTTTGAATGCAGAAAGGTTCGCAGGTGCGGCTACTTATTGTTGATTCAATTTCATCGCTTATCAGCCCAATTCTTGGAGGCAATGGTACAAATGGTGCGTCTACTTGTGTGCACATAACAGCTATCTGACTATTTGTGACTATCTCTTTTATTTGCTTAAAAGCTCCATGTAATTTGCACATTACGGTTTCTTGAAATATTATTCTTAGAATTCGTAAAATGTAAACATGCACATGCTTGGTGTTTTTCATCTTACTGGGCGTGGTAAGTGCTGACCCAAAAAAAAAAGTGTGGTAAGTGTATGTACATTCTTCATATTGTAAATCCATGAAGCATCATGATTCTTTTCAGGATAAGGCAGGATCACAGTGAAACAGTTTTTTAATATTTTTAGAAAGTTTAGTCAAATGGATGTGTTAGGCTTTTCATACATATGCTGAAATGAATAATGAATTATCAGCAATATTTAATTAATTTAGAAAAATATGTTACGAGAGTTTGAAGGGCAGCATGGGAAGATCTTCGTCAAGCATACCTAAAAGTTCCCGAACTAGTCCACCACCCCCGGATCCCCCAGCCCCAACACACACAAACTCTAATAAAAATCATAGAACTTAGAGGACAATAACATGAGTTCTCAAACTATGTTGTGCAGTTGTGCCTTTCATATGCACTATCTTTCTTCTGTCTGTAGATTGCTCTGTTGGCATCAAATTTAGAGACAATTCAGACTTCTCAGTGCCCAAACCAAATGACAAGCCTTTTCTCTTTCGAAGGGAAGGCTAGGATGCACAAATATAGATAAACCAGTATGGAATGGAAGTTGTGTATGGGTTCTACCAACCAATTTAAAATGGATTCCTATACACATACTCATAGATGTATTACTGTTAAGTGACACTCCTACAACAAAAAAGAATATCGAACACCGCTTAAATGTTCTGCCACCAAATATCTTGCCTACATAAAATTCTTTGTCTTGTGTGTTTGATATCTGTAGTAGTTATCTGCACAATTGTGGATTATTTTTAGACCAACTATCCACAGAAGGCCTTTGAATCATACTTTGTCAGTGAATTTGGGCTTGTGTTGGCAAGTAGTTGATTTTGGCAAGATCAAGAAGTTTTCCTTTCAGTTAAGACATTTTATTTTTGTTTATTTAAACTCAAAATGCATGTGGGAAAATTGTTGATTGTGAGCACATTTTGATGTTTCTTTTATTCCTAGTCGATTTTTATTCAATGATAAAGGCCTATTCATTAATTTGTGGAAAAATGTTACGACCTTTATCTGTAGAAGTAATGGCTTGTCCTTGGTTGGGAAAAACAGGACGTGCTTTAATGACTTCTGCTGGAATTTTACTAAAGAAGTTAGCACAACAGCATAACTTCGCTGTATTGGTAGGTTTTGCACTTAAAATTACAGTTGCATTGTCTTGCCTGATAGATAATATGATCTCTTCTTCGTAAAAAAATAGTATGATCTCTTCCTTTGTACGCCATGCTCTAGACGTAACAGGAATACCATTGATCAATTCTTACTCAAGCTTTACTTTTTGTAAATACAAATTATGTCTTATTGTACAATGCAGATGCTTAATTAATATCTAACTGTGAATGATGTACTTAAGGTGACTAATCATATGGTGGCTGGAGAGCGAGGTATTCTCAAGCCAGCACTTGGAGAGAGCTGGAAGAGCATCCCACACGTACGGCTTCAGCTCTCCCGTGACCACGGGAGCAACATCTGCAATATGTCCATTATTCGACACCCCCTCATGGTATTTTTCCCTTTTGACATAGTTCTGATGTTGCAGCGTATGGACTGATAATTTTGATGCATGGCTTTAAATTGCCCTCTTATTTCTTTTCTACACCAGTCATTTTCTTAACCAACGGGCAGCAGTATTTTTGTATACGAGACGCTGTCCACCTTTGTTCCTCGGTGCTCTTCCTATTTGTGCTTGTAACTGTTTCTGTCATTATAATCATGTTTTTCAGGCTTCTGGTGAGGAGGTGAAATTTATGATTTTATGATCGATCAGTTTGGCCTATGTCTGGAAGTTGTAGATTGAAGGAATGTATTGAAAGGTAAAAACATGGTCAAAGTTGTTTCCCGATTTGACATTAGAATGGTGGTTATAAAGGGAGGAATGTTGCTTGAGGTTTATGAGAATAGTGAACTTGGTAAGAAGGTGATCTTACTGTAGATGCATGTTTTATATACATAGCTATTAATCATTTAAGTTATTTTCTTGCATGATAGAATGTTGGGTAAATATGAAACATTTGTATGAAATAAACGTAGCCGAAAAAAGATAGTTTACATGAAAGACAAGAATAGAATTGAATAGGAACAATATGCAAATCGGTATGATATTTTATGGTGATTGTTTTAAACATCAAACTTAGTGTTACAAAGTTCTAACCAACCCACCCAGAAAATGGGAAACACAAGCACCTACTCCATTTCATCGACTTCATCTAAATTCTGAACTTCAGGCTTCATTGTAGAGTATATATTAGGAGCCACACTATTGTGTCCCATCAGAACCAACCCAAAGGAAAGCACCTCAAACATCAGTATCCAAAAGCTTCACATCCTTCTGTCAAACTCAAGGCAACCAGAAAGTTCTTTCCTTTTCCACACAAAGCCGTTGTCTCCCTAGTTTTCCTCGTCCTGGCAATCACATGTGCATTCTCAGCTCGGATCCTTGAAGAGGAGGAACCACCGGCGCCAGTAGTTGCACCCGAGGCATCCGATTCAGTTGGACAACCGGTTTCCGGTGTAAGTCCAGTGGGTACTGCCCCAGCTGCTGCCGCTAGTTGCACATCATATACTTTCCTTCTTCATGCATGTCGTTCTTGGTGGATCAAACCCCTCGGCAAGAGCTGTGATCGGGATGGTAGTCAACATGGCTCTCAGTGATCAAGANGCTATTAATCATTTAAGTTATTTTCTTGCATAATAGAATGTTGGGTAAATGTGAAACATTTGTATGAAATAAACGTAGCCGAAAAAAGAGAGTTAGTTTACAAGCTCTCAGTGATCAAGTACCGTTTGCCAAGCCGAACGGTGCTGTCCTCCCAGTGAGCAATGGTGTTCCAGTCAACAATGCCAGCAGTGGAGTTATTAACAACAATAACATACCCTTCCTCACTGGACTCGGTGGAACCACATCTAATGTGATGCAAAACAATGGTAACAACATTATTGGAGGCTGTTTTGGGTTCCCGGTCCTGAATAGTGCCCAGCTCCCTGCTGGGGCCACTCTCCAGAAGCTCATGTTTGGGACAATGACAGTATTCGAAGATGAATTAACCGAAGGCCATGAACTCGGGTCTGGATTGATTGGAAAGAGCCAAGGATTTTATATTGCAAGCTCAGAAGATGGGTCAAGTCAGACCATGGTTTTCAATGCCGTGTTTACCAGCAGCGGTTATGCCTGATAGTCTAGGCTGTTTCGGTGTTCATCGGATGGCAGTCTCGGAATCCCACCTTGCCATCATGGGTGGCACTGGGATGTATGTCAATGCTAAGGGCTATGCCACGGTCAAGACCATTCCTGGTGCAGCAAACCAGCACAATTCTGATGGAGTGGAGACTGTACTGGAGATAACTGTGTATCTCACTTATTAGTGTGTTTGGGTTTGATTGTGGCTGTCTGTGTATATGCTGAGATCTCTCTTTATGACAGTGCAAAAAACACATGGAGTATCAAAATTTCTTACTGGTCCAGGAGACTTGTTTGTTAGAACAGTGATCTTGTACCTCTAACTGATCGATTTGTGATGCTGCAGCATTTTCTTCTTTCTTTTTTTTGGCGGGGGACATCGAAATGATGAAGCTTTAATACTATTAACCATGCAGCACTTAAGTTTATCGAAGGATCAATGATAGAAGGTTTGTAATCGAAGAGATGAATCGTGACGATAAATGTCCTCTGTGACAGATGTTTTGCCATCATAGTCGTTAGAGAATTGAACGGTTTTGAACATGAATGGATAGCAAGTTGATCAGTTCACCTCCCCTCTACTGAAAAAGTCTCCATTTTTATGGTTGACGGCACATGATGTGTTAGATCAGTCAGAAATGGACATGTGACGTCATTTGGAGGAAAAGTAATAACGATAAAAGGACGACAGAATTCCCTCACTTGCAAAAATGTGATGTCGCTTGAAAAATAAAGTTGTAATAACATATGAGAGTTCTTTCGGGGGTGACATCACTCTGTTGCATATGACATCACTCGGGGAGCTATGTTCGTTGGAAATGCAGTGAAGATGTTTATTTAAGAATAAACGAGGAAAATGATTTACAAGAATCCGTATTCAACTGTCAGCAAGAATGGGTCTATTATCCCATGCTGTCAGATCAAGCATGATAAAAGTCTGTAGCTAATCATAGGAAAGACCCTCGAAACTATTACAATATGTAATAAGTGCTCCTTACGAGCACATGACAGATAATTAATGCCCAGAGGAGAATGGCTTCGAAACATTTATCCTTCAGCATGCTGAGTGGCGCTGGACATTTATTACTACAACAGAAGTTTTTCAATGTCAAATCTTACGACTAGCAATTGTTAGACTTAGACGTCGAAAAATTAATGTTATTAATGTCCGTCTTGTGAACGTGCACAATTCGATTTGACGCATAATACCATTTTTTTTTTTTTTGTTAATATCACCACTTATTTAGTTAAAAGAACTATTTTTTTAATTAAAAAAAATAGATAATTTTCTCTCAAAATAAAAATTTAAAAATTTCTTGCTTGTATACACAATAGTAATAACCCGTGTCTTCAGGTACGATATAATATAACAATCGAACATCCTAAAGAAGGGATAAAGATTTAATTTTGGTAACTGTATAATACATCTCATTATTACCTTAGTATATGGAAACATAATGTCAATATGCCCTCTTAATTTGTAGTGGTTTTTTCTATGCCTTCAATATCATATATAAACCTAAGTTTACAGTCATTGTATCAACAAAATAAAAAATATTTACAAATATTTAAAAACAAAAGCCTAAAAACACATTAAATCAACTTAATATCAATCAAATTTAACCACCAATCAAGCACCAATGATGAAAATGTTTCGAGTCAATGTGTATGAGTGTTTGTGTGTGTGAATGTTTGTGTATGCGCTAATTAAAAAAATAGCAATCAATTGAAAAATCTTAAATGTAATAATTCAAAATGCAAAATGCAACTTCAATACCATATATAAACCTAATCTTACAATCACTGTATCAACAAATGCATAAAAACCTATGAAAAAGTATAACTTAATCAAATTTATCCACGAATCAAGCACCAATGATAAAAATGTTTCGACTGTGTATTAAAAAAGTTAGACTAATGTTGAATATTATTTCTAGTGAGTATTGAAAATGTTATATTGAGAGATCAAAATTAGTTGCCAAGTTGCTATGTACGTGTCTACTTGTATATTAGCTCTTCTAAAGCTACAAAAAACCAAACAAAAAAAAAATAATAATAATATGAATGAACAAATTAATTACCGAAAAATCATAACAAAAATTTACCATATTCAAAATCTACACACATACCAAAAAGAGCGACCTTGAAGTGAAACCATGTGTAAATTACAATTTTTTTTTGTTAAGAGTACAATTTTTTTGGTTAAAAAAATGGATAGTTANCATCGGATGGCAGTCTCGGAATCCCACCTTGCCATCATGGGTGGCACTGGGATGTATGTCAATGCTAAGGGCTATGCCACGGTCAAGACCATTCCTGGTGCAGCAAACCAGCACAATTCTGATGGAGTGGAGACTGTACTGGAGATAACTGTGTATCTCACTTATTAGTGTGTTTGGGTTTGATTGTGGCTGTCTGTGTATATGCTGAGATCTCTCTTTATGACAGTGCAAAAAACACATGGAGTATCAAAATTTCTTAGTGGTCCAGGAGACTTGTTTGTTAGAACAGTGATCTTGTACCTCTAACTGATCGATTTGTGATGCTGCAGCATTTTCTTCTTTCTTTTTTTTGGCGGGGGACATCGAAATGATGAAGCTTTAATACTATTAACCATGCAGCACTTAAGTTTATCGAAGGATCAATGATAGAAGGTTTGTAATCGAAGAGATGGATCGTGACGATAAATGTCCTCTGTGACAGATGTTTTGCCATCATAGTCGTTAGAGAATTGAACGGTTTTGAACATGAATGGATAGCAAGTTGATCAGTTCACCTCCCCTCTACTGAAAAAGTCTCCATTTTTATGGTTGACGGCACATGATGTGTTAGATCAGTCAGAAATGGACATGTGACGTCATTTGGAGGAAAAGTAATAACGATAAAAGGACGACAGAATTCCCTCACTTGCAAAAAATGTGATGTCGCTTGAAAAATAAAGTTGTAATAACATATGAGAGTTCTTTCGGGGGTGACATCACTCGGGGAGCTATGTTCGTTGGGACTGCAGTGAAGATGTTTATTTAGGAATAAATGAGGAAAAAGATTTACAAGAATCCGTACTCAACTGTCAGCAAGAATGGGTCTATTATCCCCTGCTGTCAAATCAAGCATGATAAAAGTCTGTAGCTAATCATAGGAAAGACCCTCGAAACTATTACAACATGTAATAAGTGCTCCTTACGAGCACATGACAGATAATTAATGCCCAGAGGAGAATGGCTTCGAAACATTTATCCTTCAGCATGCTGAGTGGCGCTGGACATTTATTACTACAACAGAAGTTTTTCAATGTCAAATCTTACGATTAGCAATTGTTAGACTTAGACGTCGAAAAATTAATGTTATTAATGTCCGTCTTGTGAACGTGTACAAAAAAGTTAAAAATCGAGGTTAATAGAGAATTCGACTTGACGCATAATACCATTTTTTTTTTGGCTAACATCACCACTTATTTGATTAAAAGAACTATTTTTTTAATTAAAAAAAATAGATAATTTTTTCTCAAAATAAAAATCTAGAAATTTCTTGCTTGTATACACAATAGTAATAACCCGTGTCTTCAGGAACAATATAATATAACAATCGAACATCCTAAAGAAGGGATAAAGATTTAATTTTAGTAACTANATTGTTATATTAACCAAAAAATGATAATATTACCCACAAAATCTGTTAAACCTAATCCCAATTTGTGGTATTCTTTTTCAAAATAGTGGTAATCTTTTTAAAAAAAATTTTAATTTTACACAAAAGTAGTAAAATTATCCACCATAAATTACAAATAAATATTAACCAAAACATGGTACACTTGCCCTAAAAGTGGTAATCTTACTCACTAGAAGTGGTAAATTTTTCCAAAAAAATAAAAATAAAAATAAATTAATATTCAATCTCATGAATATAATAAAACACATTGGAATTGAATCTATCAACACTTATATTTCGTATGACTATTAAAAGTATACAAAATGAGATTTAATTTAATTAAATTAACATTCAATTATGTAAAAAAAAATTTTTTTGTAATCAAATTAACATTTAATTATGTGTTCTTACCATTTTAAAGGTAACAATCTTTACCAAATAAGTAGTAAACGAACCCCCAAGTTGTAATATTAACCAAAAATTGGTGACTTTGTTACCTTAATAATTGTAATATTAACCAAAATAGTGATAATCTTACCCCCAATATGTGCTAAACTTATTACTCCCACTTTTAAAAAATGATAATGGAGAGAATCTTGAATAATCTTTACCTTTTCAATTCTGTGAAGTCAAAAACCAAGAAGTTGAACATAGTAAAACATAAGAAGTTGAATGTCATTCCCCACCCCCAAAGCATGCAACAAACAATTTTATCACATGTTTAATTATTTAATATTTGATTAATTTGTATTCTTACCATTTTAAAAATTTTTACCAAATAAGTGTAAACGTATCCCCAAGTTGTAATATTAACCAAAATTTAGTAACTTTGTTACCTTAATAATTGTAATATTAACCAAAAGAGTGATAATCTTACCCCTAATATGTGCTAAACTTATTACTCCCACTTTTAAAGAACGATAACAGAGAGAATCTTAAATGATCTTTACTTTTTCAATTATGTGAAGTCAAAAACTAGGAAGTTGAATATAGTAAAACACATAGGAAGTTGAATGTGATTCCCCACCCCCAAAACATACATCATCCAATTAATGGACATTCAACTTCAACATATTCACTAAATTGCTATTTAAATTAATGGACTATAAGTATAAAAAATGAGATTTAATTTCGAAATATTGAAATAATATTTATTTAATTTAAAACTAAATTTCCATTTAATTTAATATCAAATCAAGACTAATTTTAGATTATATTACATCCAACTAAAATTTAATTATATTAAATAGAATACTAAATTTTAATTCATCTAACTTTTAACCTTATTAAAGTCCATTTTGTATAAAAAAAATTCATAATAAATTAAAAAGTTATGTATGACATAATTTTAAAATTAACCTGTTATGAACATAACAATACAATGATTATAATATACTGCACATCTTTGAATATCACCCAACATTTGCAATCTGTCCAAGATGTTCTAATTTTGACATAATAGTTGTAAAAAAATATATGTTTTTAACTAGGTAATATAATTTTTGTGTAATAAATTGCATTTAATTGTGAAGTAAAT